ATGTCCCATGGTCTCTTCCCCAACTTAGCTGCCTAGAGGTTCACGACTATCTCAGATTGAGAGAAGCGGGGGTGGTTCCCAGCAGTGTACATTCTGGTTTCAAAGGCAACATTCATGGCCAACAGCTTTTGTAACGATTGTTTAGCTCTACTGAAGATAGAAGGAATCTAGAACAGGGTCAAGTATCAAGATGGCTTTCAAAGTCTATGGATTAGTCTCCTACTTAATAGTTATAAATTATCATTTCTATTCATATATTTTTGGTGGGAACTAAATGATGACTACTTTCTTCATGGTTCCAAATAATACTGATTATGTGACCTTAGGCAAGTTACTTAACCTCTCTGTATCTGTTACCTCTGTACCTGTATCTGTCTATAAAATGAGGACTAGAATAGTACCTGGTTAACAGAATTTTACGAGGAGTAAATAAGTTAATATGTATAAAGTGCTTGGACCAATGGCTGGCATGTAAGTACTTCCTAAATCCTAGCTGTCATGAATTTATCATTAATAGTAGTAGTCATATTCCCCCACCCCATCTGCCTAGAATACTAAAGACAGGAAGGGAGGGAGAAAACATATCGAGGGAGGGAGAAAGGGAAGGAGAGAGGAAAAAAAGAAGGTAGGAGTACAGGGTTACCAAAGGTCAAGGAGGTAGACAGGTCTGGCAAATATGTAGGAAGAAATGCCTAGAAGAAATGCTTGCTAGAGAAGATCCTACACAGTGATGTAGGTTACAAAGAACATAAGCCAAAACTCTCCCCGTTCTGGCAGACAAGGAGAGGAGCTAAGCCATATCAGATCACAGAATGGAGTGAGGGAATTAAATTAGACTGCCATAGGTAAAGAGAGCATCAGGCAATGTGGTTAAAGGCAAATTACTTGTTACTTATATGGGTTGTTTTGCAACCTTTAAAGTCTTTAAGCGTTATTGTCAGTTTATCATAATTTTTTAGGTTTTTTTCCTTCAAACTTTTCTGCTTTTTAATCTAAGTTCATTTTAGACATTTAAAAACAATGTAAATGTCTCTTACTATCAAAGGTACTGCAAATATTTCCAAATGTGGTAAACAGTATGTATAGAATGATTCCTTGAAAAACATATATTTGTGCACAAAAAAATTCTCAAAAACTCAAGAAGCAGCAAAACAAATCCTTGACCACCAAAATTACCAAACACACACAAGGCCAGTGGTTGGAAATAATCATTTCTGACTAATCTTTCGTGTTGAGGAAAATTTTATTGCAACCAATTTGTTTTCTACCAAACTGTTTTGACCAAATTATCTCCTGCCAGCAGAAAGCCAGAGAAGCCAACTGATTAGGATGCCAACCTGCAGGCTGGTGATATTAAGTAAAGGGTCGAAAAAGAGCAAGAAGAGCCCTAGAGAAATGGGAGGTCAAGGAGAGGCTTGGAGTGCATCTCATGGACACAGAGTTAGCCTTCCTTCAAAGGGTAGCAAGTTCATCCAGATCCAGCCCTTGGGAAGCAGCAAGACTACGCTTGACATAGAACATGAAATTAGAGGAAGATGTTATGAGAGTTCTCTACTTTAAAGAAAGGAAGTTTTTCAAATGGGCATTATCCTCTTTAATCCTAGGTATTTGCTTGGCAAATACAAAAGCAAATTTCATGTTCATTTTCCTTATTAAAGTACTATAAATTATAAATGCAGGATTGTTCTTAATCAATTGAGAATTATTGTTTTAAAAGAATCCTTTTCTGCTGTTTGGTGTTAGTGAAATAGGAATTACAGCACCTTCCTATTTCCTACCTCACAGAAATGATGGCATGATTGAAGGAAATGTAAGTGAAGTAGTTGAATTCCAGAAAAAACATACTGTAATTTTATTATTCTCCTTTTCCAGATAGAACAATTGAATAACTTTCTTAGCTTGGATAATAACTAGCTGCTACAAATTTTCAAATTTTATATTTGCATTTCTCATTCCATCACTAATTTCTGAAATAACTCTTACCTTGAAATCATCAGAAGTTTTGCTCACTAAACAAGCTTGCAAAGAGCAGATGACCGATGCCTCATCCAGTCTATCAACCTTCAAAACAGAAAAGTAAATGGGGTAGGGGGTGGGGGGGGGTTTGCAATAAAGCCAAAAGCCATTAAAGAGTAAGCACCATGCTGTATCTGATTTTGAAAGATCCCATGATGAACTGCTTTTAAGATTGCACTTGGTACAGAGTAAGAAGAACCTGGTGCCAGGAGATCTGGTTCTTCTGATCATGCCACTTATTAGATTAGTGGACTTAGAAAAGTCTTTTAGCTTCCCTGGGCCTTAACTTACATTTCTGTAAAATGTGGGGAGTAGTGCTAGGTAATCTTTCACCTCCTCTCAGCTTTAAATTTCTGATCCTATGCTTACTAGTTTCTTTCTTCAATGTCTCATGGACTAATCAGGAAGAAATCCTGGCAGAAAAGCAAGAATGTTACCTGTATCATTTCATCATTTTTGCCAGCTCACCCTATTTCTACTCTTTCAGCTACAAACCTTGGTGTTGCTTTTGATTTTTGCCTCTTATGCACTATGGATGAGTTATAATGTTGATTCATAAAAGCTTGTAGAGCACTTTTCAAGTTTCATGATTCACCTTTGCAAGCGCTATCTTATCATCACAACAGCTCAGGCTGGTTGCTATTATCTCCAATTTACCTGATAAATAAATTGAGGCCCAGACTAGCTGAGTGAATTAATCACCCAGAGTAACACAAATAATAAGTTATGGGAACAAGTCTTTTGATTCCAAAGCCTATACTCTTTTTACAACAGTACAGTTCCCACTAGGGGTAGATCCCGATTTTGTGGGATCCTGAGATCTTAAAGATAATTTCAGTATATCTTCGAGAAAAGTGACACAAAATTACAATAAACACTAAGTAAGATGGTGTGAACAGATTGTTAGGGCCCCTCTCAGGGTCTTGGAAGAGGTCTATTCAAGCGAGGGGCCTTTAGTGTTAATTTTTAGGATTCGGTTTCAAGATTTTCCAGTTACACATTTATTTAGTGCTAACTACATGCCAGACACTGAAGTAAATACTAATTTTATTATTATAACAACCCTATGAGGTAAGTGCTATCCTTATTTGACAGAGCAGAAACGAGGCTCAGAGAGGTAAAATGATTTACCTAAGGACCCAGAACTAGTAAGTGCGAGGCTGCAACTCAGGAGGTCTGGCTTCTAGGTCCATCTTGTGAACCTTCCACACTATGCTCCTCTTTAAGCCTTCTTTGAGGTGTTTTGGGAATCACCTTATTCTACCATTTCCCACGACATCCTGTATTTCAGGCCCTGATAAATTCACCTTGAACTAGTGCTATTTGTCTCCCTAACTTAACTCTCCTACCATCTACCCTGAATGCTGTTGCCACCTTACCCATCCTAAAGCACTGCTCTAAGTCCTGGCCACCCCAATATGACTTGAAGCTCCTTTCTTCTCAGCATTTACCAAAGGTAAAAAGCGATTATTGCTCATAAGCAGTACTCGGTCACAGATTGTAAATGGTCTAACAAACTGAACTGCTACTGAAAACTTTGTATTGTGTGAAACAGACAAGAGTGGGTGAGAGGAAAGCACATGGGAGCTCTCAGAACCTGATCCCTCAATCTCCACTCCACCACAATCTCAGGCTCTTCATTTGTAAAACAAAAACTTAAGGCCCACCCTACAGGATTGTTCTGAGAATTAAATGATGTGTGTGTGTGTGTGTGTGTTTAAGGGCAGAGTTGGGGCATACAGGAAGTGCTCATCAAATGCTAGTTGATTTCTGCCTGACTCCGTCTCCTCAAAGAACTTATTAGCTTTTGGAAAACAGGAGCCTGGACTCATACATTATTGGCACTTCTCAAGTCCTGGATATCAGAGACACTCCATGATTGCTTAATTGGATCACTTCAACAGATACACTTCAACAGATATGGACTTGCTCAAGAACCAATATCAGCTCTTCTAACAGAATCAGTGCCTGGACTGGAGTCTGACTTCAAATGTTGGCCACTTACGAAGCTCTGAGACCTCTGAAAAATCACGTCACCTCTCTGAGCCTCAGGCCCCTTACTTGTGAAAAGTTATGTAGTAGTACCTGTCCCACAGGGTTGTGAGGCTAATTCGGGCGAATTGCTAAGTATATAATTAGCCCTTCAAAATTGTTAGCTATAATTATACTTTGTCCCAAATATTCAGTGTCCATAAAAATTTGGCCTCTCCGCATTTTCATTTCTCCATGTTTCAGACATACACACCCTCCCTCTTGGGACTTGTGTCATCACCCTCAGACCCACTCCTCTTTCCTGACTTCTGTGTTTAATACCCACCATTCGTCGAATGTCACAGGCCTGTAGTAAGAAAGTTCCACCAATCCTCTCCTCAAAACTCCCCAAAGCGCCAATGAGGTCTGTTCTGTTACTGGTGCCAACTTCGAGAAGAGGAAATAGTCCTTGACGGTTTGGGTGACTTCCCGAGGTCACAGAACTGCAGTGGCGAGACCACAGCCGGTTCTCGCAAGAGCCCGCCTCTGGGCCTCTTCCCGGGTGGGCGGTGGCCCCGCGTCCATTCAAAGCCAGCCCAGTCCCTCCACTTCCAGGCACTTCCCGGCTCCTCCTTCCGCCCGTCGCCCACACACCTGAGTCAGGCCCCTGAGGGCACGCCGCATCCGTCTTTGCCGGCTTTTTCCTTTCCTCCGTCAGCAAGCGAGAGTGAGGCCGACATCGGGGTCCTGCACGAGTGTAGGTCGCCGAGAGCTGCTCCGACGGTCGACGGAC